GGCGACGTTGCTGTCTGACGGCCGGAGCTCCTGTTGTGCTTCCAGCCCTCTTTCCCCTTTCCAGACCTCCGGCCAGTGGTGATGGCAGATGTGGGGCAGTGGGGGATGACGGTTTGTGGCGAAATCAGGCGGTAGGGATCGTGGATGCAGCCTCAGCATCTTCGTGGTTCGGGGGTTTACCGGGTGTGGTTGGTCTCGCTAGTGGTGTTAGTGGGTCCGGTCTCGTGGTGGTCCTGAGGCATCTTGGGTGTTGAGGTTGTGGTTCGAGTTTGATTTCGGATGTTGTTCTGGGGCTAGGGCTGACTTCGTTAGGCCACTGAGCTGGTGTTTGGGCAGTTTCGGGTCGGTCCTCTTTGGCTGTAGGACTCATTCCGATTTCATCTCGATATCCACCGGCTCTGCTTGGTTTGCTGGTTAGGAAGGGCTTGTTTGGTTTGTTTTATGTCTTCTTTTCTGTAGGCTTTTGTTGGTTCGTTTGGTTGTGTTTGTTTGTTTAGGGCATGTTTTTTGGTTTGGGTCGTTGGCCCCTGTGAACCGGAGTGTCGCCTTATTATCCCTTTGGGATCTGATACTCCAGTATTATACTGCTGGGATCTTTTTTGGTTTTTGTTTGTGTGGTTTTCGTGTGTTTCATTCTAGCTCTGCTAGCGGCGGATTTCTAGGCGGTCTCTGGACCTGTCCTCCTACTTTTCAGCCTTTGGCTGCTTTGTATTTGCATATTCGCACATTTGTGCGCTTTTGATTTATATAAAACATCTATTGTTTCGGGAAAAAAAAGCTTGATATTAAAACAAGTTTATCATACTTTATAAAAAAAAAAAGAAAAAAAAATTCCCTTTTTCCCTGATTGCTAAAACCTTAAAGCCGGCGTCACTACTCTAATCCTCCATCGTTCGGCCTTCCTCAGCGGCGCGCGGACTCGGGCCTGCGATCGTCCTCAACTGCTTGGCCCATCCCGGATGTCGTTTTGTCTCTGATGCTGCTGAACATTAATGGATCGACATAGACTCTCCCACTGTCGATTTTGTTTAGTCTTGTGGGCTGGTCGCCATATTCTGTGGTCAGCGGTGGCGTCGGGAGGGATGAGGGTCTGTGGATGGGTCGGGGCTCTGGTGGTTGCGACGATTTTTGTTGTGGCGGTCAGAGCTTGGGACTTTGCATCTCCAACTCGAAATCTTTTGACTACGATCGCCTCCGGCTTCTGGGGCCGCCTTTGAGGTATGCTTCCTTCTTTTGGCTGTGTTGGGTTGAGATTAGGGTTGCTGGAGATCCGATTGGTGGGCTACGACTTTCCGACAGGATATTCGGGCTTTGGTCGCCGGCGGTTTTGTGGTTATGATGGGTGGAGTTGTGTAGCTATCGATGGCGCTGCTCTGGATACCGAGGTGTTTTCAATATCGGGAAGGCCGACGTGGGTTGGCCGAACCACCCTCACCGTTCTCCGTTCGGCTAGTGGTGTTAGGCGGCGGGGAATCGTGTCCTCTTGATCTCGACTAGTGGTGTTAGAGTGTTAGGTTGGAGCTGGTGTGGCGGCTGGTTTCGTTTGTGTTCCTCCGATTGGTGTTCGGGT